TTTCTGATTTCATTTTTTCCAGTTCGTCTTTCATTGCTAGTTCAGGGAGTCCAGGTGGTTGAGTATCAGAGTGTTCCATCTCATTTCCCTTTGGGGTTGGTGTAGGTGATCTGGAAGTCTGGTTCTGAGGCTTGTTTAAGTGTCTTCTCATTTTGAGGGGTGGGGGGAGGAGTTCTGTTGGCACTCATATGGCTCACCTTCTCTGGGAGCTGTGGCATGCCTGCCTGGAAGCCTCCTCTGCCCAGGAAGCTGTGCCATGCCTACCTGGAAGCCTCCTCTGCACCGGGAGGTGTGGCACGCTGACCCGGAAGCCTCTTTTGCACTGGGAGCTGTGGCATGTTGACCCAGAAGCCTCCTTTGTGCTGGGAACTGTAGCTTGCCTACCTGGAAGCCTCCTCTGCTCTAGGAACTGTGGCACACTGACTCAGAAGCTTTTTCTGCCCTGGGAGCTGTGGCATGTTGACCTAGAAGCCTCCGCTGCACTAGGAGCCGTGGCACGCTGACCCAGAAGCCTCCTCTGCACTGGGAGCTGTCCCACCACTTGATCCTCTGCTCAGGTCTCACAAGGCTGCCATCATGGTGTTGAGTAGACAGTGTTCTCAAATGGAGGTTTTTGAGTTATGACTTTTCTGTTTTTTGGGGAGGATATGATCTCTGCTCCCACACATGTCCCCATTAGGATATGACATCATCCATTTTTAATCCCTCACCAAGGGCTCAACAAAGCGCTGCCCAGTCTTGGACTTTGAATCTGCAGAACTGAGCTAAATGAACTCCATTTCTTTATAAACTTAGCCTGTGCCAGGCATTTTTAATAACTAAAAAGACACTGCTATAATGTACAACAGCAGAAATAAACCCTAACATAACCTGTGGGTGATAATGATGAATCCATGTATGATTAGCAGTGATAACACATGGTACCACACTGGGTTGATGGTGGGAAGGTTGTGTTTTGGGGACAGGGGGTTTTGTACTTTCTGCTGCATTTTTCTGTGAACCTAAAATTGCTTTAAAGAAATATATGTGTGTGTGTGTGTGTATATATATAATATACTATATCTTTTTTAAAGTGATATGAATCTCAAAATATTTTCTTCTTAAAATAGCCCTTCATTTCTGCAGGTTTTACATCCAGGAATTCAATTAAACATGGATCAACAATCTTTGAAAAAATTTTATCCTGAATATATAGACTTTGCCCCTTTTTATTGTATCATTACACAATCTCAGAGCATTTTCATCATGTTAGGTATTATAATCCAGACATGTATTCAGGAAGATGAGTGTAGGTACTACACAAATGCTATACCATTTTATGTAAGGGACTTGGACACCCTCAGATCATGCTGTCCTGAGAGGTCCTGGAAGCAGTCCCTTTTGGATACCAGGGGATGACTCTACAGGTGTTCTAGCCTTATGGTAAGGTAGGTGTATCTAAATCTATCTAATCTATCTAATCTGTCTATCTCTGATTGACATTAGCCTAGGAGAAGCAGAGCATGCTGTCATAAATACGAGTCAAAGGCCAGGCACTAAAGAGGAAATCACTTCTCTAGCCACCATTTTCCCCTTAGCTGAAGAATGGGAATGTTACCCCCGGGTCAGTCATTGGTGCAGTTAGAAGACAGAATGAGTCTAATGGTGTTGCAAAAAGTTTAGAAGAGAGACAGGTGTTGAGTTGTTGCTAAATCAGCCATTGTGTGCTGCCACTTGGCAATGTAACCCATGGCATGTAAACCACATTCAAAGAACTTAGAGTGTCCAAGGAGCCTCTGATGACAATGCCAAGCGGCCATTGCCGTGATTGCATTCTGAAGAACATTTAGCGATGCCTAGGACCTTTGGAAGCTGTTGCTTAGATGGATTTGAGCCAAGTCTTTAAAAAGGGGGTGGGGGAATATGCTAGGCAGAGATAACCTCTAACACTCCCATGATTGATAGAAACCACTTTCCTTGGGAGAGTCCCATCTGGCTTTGGGGAGAAAGTCACCATCGTAAGGTGGTTGTTCAAATGTGATTATTCAAGTAAAATGCTTGGCACACTGCAAGATGAATAGGAAGTGATTGACTGGTAGTGATTATTAATAAATGAGTCACTGTTCTCCCCAAGCTGATAGGCTTCTTTAATTAAAATTAGGGTAAGTTTAATGCTTTTGAAGCTCCAATACTACTGAACTGCAGCAACTTTTGACATAATATTAGAAGCATCTACTTACATAATTTTTCTAAAAATAGGACCATAATGGCATATTTTTGTAGAAATTTCCTGTATTACTGAATCACCTAATGATTTTTAAATGAAGTTTAAAATATTTTTAAAGTTAAAGTCATCCATAATACAGAAAAATATCAATCCATATAGAAATACAAATGAAGAGAATTCTCCCAAGTAGGTAACGCAGAATCCTCTCAGAGAACAAGTACACATTTATCCCTGTGCCTAAACATTTTATTTACATAAATGGATTACATTTTAAGTTCTTTTCTGAGATGTAATTCCCATACTAGAAAATATACATTGTAAAGCACACCATTCAGTAGCTCCTAGAATTATCACAAGGTTGTAACACTATCATCACTATCTAATTCCAGGACATTTTTGTCATCCCCAAAAGAAATCCCTTACCTGTTAACAATTATTCTCCATTCCTCTCTCCCACATTTCCTGGAAGACACTGATCTATTTTTTTGTCTTTGTGCACTTGCCTATTCTGGGCACTTCATATAAATGGAGCCATACAGTATTGTGGTCCTTTATAACTGGCTTCTTTCCCTAAACTCAGTGTTTTCAAGATTCACTATGCTGTAGCAGATATCACCCTCTTTCCCTGAAAATAATATCTCACCAGGAAGTAACCAGCCTTGAAAACTAGAGATCAGAAATGCCAGCCCCAATCAGCCTATCCCTGCCTTACCTGCCATCACTATTCTCTTGCTCTGTGGCTGCTCTGTAAAGCAGATAAGGCAGATAATCAGGTGGTTGGGGCTGGCATTTTGATCTCTACTTTTCAAGGCTGATTATTTTCCAGCTAGGTCTTATTTTGGGGGGAATTCGGTAGTACTTCATTCTTTGTTATGGTCAAAACATAATCCATTGTATAGATGTACCACATTTTGTTTACCTGTTTACTATTTAGTGGAGTTTGGGGTAATTTTCACTTTTTAGCTATCTTGAATAATGCTGCTATGTACATTTCTGTACAAGCTCTTGTTAGTATAGTTTTCCATTCTCTTGGTTAGGTGAACCAAGGAGTAGAATTGCTGGTCATATGGTGACTCTATTTTAACTCTTTGAGGAACTTTTCCAAGACACTTCCACCATTTCATATTCCCACCAGCAATGTTTGAGTGTCCCACTTTCTCTACTTCCTTGCCTAACACATGGTTTTTTCTAGTTTCTTCATCATTGCCTTTCTAAAAGGTGTGAAGTAATATCTCATTGTGATTTTGATTTTGATTTTCCTACTGATTAATGATGTTGTGCATCTTCACATAACCTGTTTCCAATTTGTATATCTTCTTTGTGGAAATATCTGTTGAAATCCTTTGTCCGTATTTTAATTGGAATATTTATCATTTTATTACGGAGTGATATGAATGTTTTAAAATATATGCTGGATACTAAATTATAATCATGCACTTTGCACACATTTTATTTTTTTGTGTGCCTTGTCTTTTTCAATAATGTCCTTTAAGAGATTGTCTGTTGGTGGCATTGTGGCTGAGCTCGTGTGTGGCTTGAGTCAGCGGTTGCTGCAGCAAAAAGAGTTTGGCGTGATGTCTCACACTATTTTGCTGGTGCAACCTACCAAGAGGCCAGAAGGCAGAACTTAAGCTGACTATGATGAGTCTGTTAATGAATGCATGGAAGGCGTTTGTAAAATGTATGAAGAGCATCTGAAGAGAATGAACCCCCAGCAGCCCCTCTATCACATACGATATCAGTCAGTTGTTTGATTTTATTGATGATCTGGCAGACTTTAGTTGCCTTGTTTACCGAGCTGATACCCAGACTTACCAGCCTTATAACAGACTGGATCAAAGAGAAGATCTATGTGCTCCTTCGTTGGCAGGCCCAACAGGCTGGAAAATAATGGTGTTGGAAGCATTAGGGGCTGGGGGTGGGGTTGGAACACAGGTGTGTACAGCGTACTGTAGTGGGAGTTTTGTATTATGGTAATCCTGTTTTCCATTTTGTTACACTCTGGCCAGGATTGAATGTATTAGATGAAATGTGAGATGTGAGAATCTTTTCAATCCGAAACCTCCATTGCCCCCTTTTTCTTTTCCTTTCTTTTTTTTTACTTAAACATTTTTATGATGATTTGGATGGAAGTTGTTCTTTGTCAGTGTTGGTTCCAGTCCTTCAGATTGTTCATATCTGCTTTATAACATTCACTATACTAAGCTTTTGAAGATGGGGTGGAGAATGATGACACAGTTTAGTTATGTCCTCAAAAAAAAGTCTTAGAAATAAATAAATGTTCTTTAGTTAAAAAATAATAATAATAATCTTTGAAGCAAAAGTTTAAATTTTGACAAAGTCCAATTTATTTTTCTGCATTTTTCATTTAAGGATTCTTTATTTTTAGACAACCTACATGACATTTTTTCCCTTAAAAAGCAATGCTGCCATTGTTTTCTAAATAAATTACAAGAGGACATCAGTCCCCTGTATCTTAACTACTAGTGTTGTTTGGATCACAGGCAGTAGCCAGTTATGATGATGGATCCAAAAAAATCTCCAAATTGGTTAAAATTTTTCCATTCCTAAACCATCCTTAAAGAGAATCCCACTCTCATTATAGCCCAGAAAAGTAATTGTGATACTTAACTGGTTGTGTCAACTTGAGTAAGAAATGCCCAGCTATATTGGGTCAGCATAGTTCTGGGTGTGGCTGAAGGGATTTACTGAGGACAGGAGACCCACCCTGGGTAGGCTTGTCACTTGAATGGTGTAAAGGGAAATGAAGTAAGATGCACTTCTGTTTCTTCAGAGGGGCTCCACTCTTCACCTTCATCTTGGGTGTCGTCTCCTGACTTCCCATGCAGACTCTTAAGCCTCCAGCACAGACGCTTCAGCCTTCCGTTGCAGACCCTTTGGCCTCTTGGTAGGGACTCACTTGGGACACTACAGTGAGCGCCAGGCCTTCACCTGGATCCTTTAGATCCCCAGCGTGCAGAGGGCCGTTTTGCACTCTTCCACACCTGACTCTTGGAGTGGCCATTGTAAGCCAGTCTTGTAAATTCTTACATGTTTGTTGTGTTAGTTACTTTTCTTTTGTTGCTGAGACAAAATAACCGACACCCAAAGTTAGAGGGGAAGGGATTTATTTGGCTGACAGTTTTCAGAGTTTTCATTCTATAGTTAGCCAGCTCCAAACCGGGGATTCCAAATGGGTATTGCAGAGGAGAAAAAACATGGCACACAAAAGGTACCAAAGGCAACATCTTTCTGCCTCTTTTATACCATCCAGACCACTGGGATTACGGCAGTTCTAAACCACTCACTCCCATGTAGTGGTTTAGTAATCACAAGTCCTTTAATCCCAGTATCACACACTCTGGATTCAGCTACCTCTGACTAAATGAGGCTTTGAGGGGACAATCAGACCCAAACCACAACACTTGTATATCTTGCATTGAATCTGTTGCTCTAGTGAGCGCTGACTGATACAGCATCCATGCTGTCTAATTGTCTAAAGTCATGCTTTCCTCCAATGAAGATCTGGCAGGTTTTTTTTGAAATTAGCAAGGATATGCTGGATTCCGTGGGCCCCTTTATGAAAGGTTTTATTCTTTCCACTCTGTGCTTCAAATTTACCTTTGATGGATTTCAGATAATCTTTGATGTACTTTCTTGAAGGCTTTTTCTGTAAAGCTGGTTTCCTACACATGCCGGCTCATGACACCAGTGATTAGTGGGCCTGCCTTCACCTTTGGGGCTTCAGCAGAGGTGTTTCCACATGAGCAGAACATCACGGTGACCTCTCTCCTACTGACCATCTTCCCCTCCACCTCCAGCCACAGCCCATCTTGGTTCCCCAAATCTTGCAAATTTCAGAGACTGTCTCCTCATGGCTGATGAGGTCCCTGGAGATACTCATGCTGGTGGCTGGAGGGAGACTGGGTGATACCAACTTTTACCAGGAGCCAAGTGCAAGATGCAGACCAGGGGAGGAGGGGTGTAGCTTCTGGTTTTGTTATTTTAACTCTGGCTCTTTCTGTGCCTGAATATACATGCCCAGGTCATTCCTCAGCTGCATGGAAGTCTGTTGTATGGAATCTCTCCATAATTTCTTCACCTCTTAATGAACAGACTGCTTGTTTTCAGCTTCCTGCTATGTAGATATTATTACAGTGATCATTGTTGAGCATAATCTTTTCAACAAATACCTTCATAGAGTCAAATCTGAAAGTAAAATTGTTGTGTTGAAAAATCATGTTTTTAAAATACAGGTAGATAATACCAGACCTCCCTCTTGAACAATAGTATAAGTACCTGTCACATGCCCTACTTCACTGCCCCCACTCACAAAGTATAAAAGAAAAATTATAGTAGCTCTTATAAAGCTTCAGTTGTGTTTTTATTTTGTTTTATTTTTGGATTTTGGTACTGGAGATTGAACCTGGGCCTTCCCACTGAGCCACATCCCTGGCCCCTTTTTTCATTTTTATTTTTTGAGACCACCTTGCTAAGTCTCACAGGCTGGGTTGGAACTTGTGATCCTCCTGTTTTAGTTTGCCAGTGTTCCAGGATTGCAGATGTGTGCCACCCCACCTAGTTGAAACTTCAGTTTTGTAGAAAAGTTCTATTTTGAGATATACTGTCATGTACTAAATTGTTCCCATCCACAACCCTGCCAGGATGACTTTTCTTGCCTACATCTTGTTTTTCCACAGGATAAGTTTCAAGAAGCAGAAAGAAGGATTCAGTGGCAGAAACAGAATTTCAGCTAGTTGACTTCTCACTCCATGTGTGTCTCCCCACAGGGGATTGAGTACATCGCCAATGCTGGAGGTATGCTAACTGCCACTTGCAATTCCTTAAAGAGAGATTGGAAGAGACCCAGGTATTGTACAGATGTTGCCAGAAGGATCTGTGTAACACAGAACTGGAGGATGAAGAAGAGGATGGAACAGCTGCCTTATCAGGGAAGACAGTGCTGCTGGTGACTCCATTTCTGACCTCAGTCTGGAATCTTTGTTTCTAAGTCAGCTCCAGGAAGGATTCGCTTAAGTTCTTCCATTCTTTTTGCAATTCCTTGTTGCTGTTCTCCAAAGCCTTTATTGTTTTCCAGCTGAAACCTGTTAGGCAAGAATAAAATAAGCTTGAACACCATGAATGAGAGATGAGAAGCCCAGTGCTGTGCAGAGAGGGGCCCTCTGAGGGAGAAGCTGGAGGGAGAAGCGTGTGTAACTAGTAGGTTACGTACTTCTTTCTCTCCTCTTTGGAGGACCCATTTGGCAGTGGCAGCTTAAGTGGGTCCTTGGCAACCTGCAGGTATTTCCCTCTGGTTCCTTGGGTGGAGTTAACTGGTATGACCAGTACTTGATTGAGAACGGTGCTGACAGATTGTTTTTCAGTATCCTCTGTCCCAAGGAACACTTTCCTAAACGTCCT